TCCTAATCAATATGAGATCATAATATTTGATATAATTGTTTAGGAATAATATGTTACCAGTAAGTAAATTCATTGTGCAAGGCTTGAGTGACACACACTTTTTTCCTACAGTTGGCAGGAATATCACATACTAAGAAGCATTACAATTCCTAAAGCATTATGACAATACACATAGCAGATGCACATATGAGGTTTTTGAATGTATGTATGTGTATGTGAGAAATGTCACACCATATTTGTTTTTTCTTGGTAAGATTAATTATCCATTAAAACTAAAATATTGAGATTTTATTTTCAGACCTGTTAGGCCTTACAGAATAATAGGTTTCAGAAGGAATCATGTAGTATGTTTTTTTATTTGCATCTGAAGTGTAAGCATTCAGTGTATGCATGATTTTTTTTCTTCTTCCATCTATCTATTCTTATCCTTGCTCTATAAATGACTTTTTTTTTTTTTTTTTTTTTTTTTTTTTTTCAATAAAATGTCTTGGAAATTGCAGTGAAGTATGAGGTTTTCCTGGTTTTCTCCAGTTATCAGCTCTGCATTGTTCTGTCAGTAGGAGTGGCTGCTGAATCCAAGACTAATGCATGAAATCCTGCTTTTGATGCTGTGAGTTACTTATAATTAATATAGACATAATTGCATTTATTTCCATTATATTACAGAATCATTTGAGTTTGAAGGTACCTTTAAAGGCCATCTGGTCCAACTCTCCTGCAATGAATGGGGACACCTTCAGCTACATCAGGTTGCTCAGTGCCCCATCCAGGCTGTCCTTGAATGTCTACACAGAGGGGGCATCCACCACCTCTCTGGGCAACCTGTTCCACTACCCTTATTGTAAAAAGGTTTTTCTCTATAGTCAACGATAACATGCCCTTTAGAAAACAACTCTTCTGACCAAGAATATTTTGTAGTTAAGAGTACAGCTTGCATGTCCTCTTATGCAGAGCAACCCTTGTGTCAACTCACATGCTGCTTCATGTTGGGAAGCAGTGGTCACCACTGGGCTGCTCACTTTCTAATGATGGCTATATTAAGCATCTCTAAGTGAGGCTGTTTGGACAAAAATGAGGAACTCAGTCTTCATGCACTGCTCAGATAATTTGCATTAAAGTCTAAGTCCTAATGATAAGGTAGACCTAATATAAATATAAATAAAATTAATATACATATGTGTGTGTGTACATATATATATATACATAAAATATATATTTTATTTTTTTTGGGGGGGGAGGGAGGGGAGAGGAAGAGCACAACACTGCATTTTTTTTTATTTTTTTTTTAAAGAAAGAATTTCTCACGGGCTGCAAAGGTGGTTGGGATGGTGCAAAAGTGTGTCACTAGAGTTTTAGATGTCATAACAACTTCTGGACGTCACCATAGCTCTTTATACTTGTTTTACTAAAAAAGTATGAATCAAAATCAACATAATAATGTATGTTATTCATACAAAAAAGTATGAATAACAACAAGTCATAAAATCACAAAATGGCTAGGATTGGAAAGAACCTTAAAGATCATCAAACCTCAATCCCTGCCATGGGCAGGGCTGACCCCCACCAGCTCTGGCTGCCCAGGGCCCCATCCAACCCAGCACTGAGTGCCTCCAGGGATGGGCACCACAGATTCTCTGGGCAGCTGTGCCAGCGCCTCACCATCCTCTGAAGAAAGAATTTCTTCCTAATATCTCAGCTAAATCTCACCTCCTTTAGTTTATAGTCATTCCCCCTTGTCCCATCACTATTATACCATGTAAAGGAGAGTATTTTGTGTCCACATACAAGTTGAACATACCGTTGAGGAGAAACAGCTGGGAGCCTTCTCAGCCTGAGCATGACCCCAGCCACCCACCAGGCTGTAACACACGCTGAACAGAAGCCCACCCTCTTTCCTCTGCTGAATCCATGCCACCAGGCAGGCAGCACCACACGAGCTGTAGGTTCAGGCAATGGATGGGGAGCTTCTTCAGTTCTGCAGCTGGGTGCTCTGCTCTGGTGGCTAAACTGCTATTTTTAACACCCTGGTTTACTTCTGTTTTTATCCAATGACAGCATGGCACCAAGCACAGGATCTCTTCTAGTTCCATGCCCAGCAGCACATCCATCCACAACACTTTTAGACCTCTCTGAACTGTGAGACAGGGCTTGGGTCCCCCCCCAGCCTAATAAAAGATAATATTACTGCCTACAATTGTACTTGAGCTGCCACAGGAACATACTTGTGATTCAGGATAGTTCTGCCACTATTCGGGACAGTTGCATATTTCAGGATAGCAAATGCAAAATTTGCTGCTGTGTTTAAAATGTGACTAATCAAAGATTTCAAGTGGATTTAGGCTTTTCCTTAAGATTTAGGAGTATGTGGAAACAGGCTGACTGACTTCACTTATCATACTATCACAGAATCATGTTATGCATTATGTATACTTTATGAATTATTACCCCAACTATTAACACTGCCCTAATGCACCTTGTGAACTTTACATTGAGAAAAACTGTGAGCAGTTGTATTATGTAAATTTTAGAAGAAATACTCAGAAGTTTAGGAAGCAGGTGAAACTAATTTTGAATACATATACAATTTGTCATCATATCTGTGCATTTGCTTAGCACACACATATAAATAAAACAAAAAAACAACACAAGAAAAAATACCTCACTAGGAGTGATTCGTTATACATAGGTTCACAAGAATTCCTTAATCCTTGGTGATTTCAGTTCACCATTTATTTCTCCATATCTCAAGTCTTTGTCTATTCACTGGAAAGTCTGATTTGACTTTGGCACAATTTCCATCCTTATTAGTAAAAAGTGAAGTGTAATAAGCTGTCAAACCACTTTGTCCTGCTTCATGGTGCTCATGACATTAGCACAGCAAACATGAACAGTAACCACAGTGCCTATGGCTGAGGGTTTTTCTAAATGGTTGGTGCTAGGAAATGGGATTAGTAGGCTGGTGTTTGTGACAGAGTGATGTGAAACATGGTCTTCACTGTTATATCACCAGCAATTGTTGAGTATTCTGGACCTCTGCCCTTCAGGAACACCAAAGGAAAACTGTTTAGACAGTCAGGCATTTTAGACAGGAAAGCACATGCTTGGATAGTTTCCTTGAAAAAGAAAATGCACTGTGCTTTTTCAGAAGGGAAAACACAGAGTGTTTGCTCTTATGCTTGGGAGAGCCACCAGTCAATATCCACAAAAGCTAATGCATTACTTTTTCAACTTAATCCACACAATTCTCCATGACAGTGACATCTACAAAATAGATGTGAATACACTTACATGCTGTGACTATTGCCTGCTAAGCTCAGTAATTTATTTTCCCATTCCTTTTACACCCCTACTGCCTCTATACATATGGTATTTCTTCATTGCACGTACTTCTAAAATCTACCTCTATGATTACAGCTTGCAGCACTGTAATGGCAGTAAATACAAGAGTAAAAATCAGTAATTATTTCCCCCTGACATTGCAAGAATTTGCTTTCTATGTTTCTCCATTTGCTTATATTTTAAAGGAAGAGCAACAAGACCAAACCATTGTATTTTGACAACTTCAGTTGAGTCTAAGACCACATACTCCATGGATGGATCAAAGTAGCTGCCCAAAATCACATCACAGGCACATTTTCCTGGCTTTTGTATATGCTTTTCACCTTGTAAGAGATTATTCTGTTAACTTCTGCGTCTCAAAGCTTGCTGGGGACACAGATGGACTTGTTCAAGTCCCGAGCAAGGATTGTGAAATCCTTTGTCTGAAGGACACAGATGAACAAGTCCAGGCAAGTCCTGGGCAAAGGTTGTGAGATCCTTTGTCTGGGGGACGCAGATGGGCAAGGCCAGGGGCAACCAGAGCGAGATGAGCTGCAGCTAAATAGCTGTGAAGTGCTCCTTTGTGTGGACCTATCTCCGGATGATGGCCATCTCAGGAGGTACTCAATGACTCTTGCTCAAGGCCCATCCTTGTCAAGTAGGCAGGAGAACAAGGAGGATAACAGAGGAACTGAAAACCATGAGGATGGGTTTTCTGACAACAGACTCCTCATGAAGAAGAACAGGGGTTTCCTGACAACAGATTCCTCATGAAGAACGAAGGATTTCTGGCAGCAGATTCCTCCCGAAGAAGAGGAGGGATTCCTGATGATCAGATTCTTCGTGAGGTGACTCCTTCATGCTGTCAAACTCTCCTGCGCCTGCTGCCTGAGCGCTGCTGCAGCTTCAAGAATTGGCTCCTCAACTTCCTCGTCTACCTGCCTGCTGCTCAAGGCCGGCCACGCTGCTGCTCCCTGTCCCCCTGCTGCGTCTGCCTGGGACCTTCAAACACCGTGCAACAGGACCGCTGCTGGATCCTCCTGGTGACTATTCCCGCTTTACGCAACTCCTGCTTCTTTTCTATCTTTTCTATCGCACTCCTTCCCTTCCCCGTCTCCCTGATTAGGTTTTAGTAATAAACTGGATGGAACAACATACGAACCGTTGTTTCTTAATCTCACACCGGGTACACAGATATTAAAAGAACCTCATCTCCTTCCTATAAATTGGAGCAAGACACACCTAGAGTACAGTGTAAGTTCATATCCTAAATTATCCAGTCAGAGGGAACACAGAAAGGTATTGCCCAAGCTCACAAGAGCAGGCTCTCTGCCTCAGTTTTCACTGACAGCGGCTCTAGCCATACTGCCCAAGCTGCAGAAAGCAAAGGTAAGAACCTGGAGAAAGAACATCTGCCTGCTGTAAGTGAAGATCAGGATCGAGACCATATAAAGAATCTGAAGGTGTACATGTCCATAGGACTCAATGAGGTCCATCCACAGGTTCTGAGGGAACTGGGAGATGAAGTTGCCAAGCTGCTGTTTGAAAGGTCTAGAGGGAGGTGTCCCTGCCAATAGCAGGAAGTTGGAACTAGATGATCGTAAAGGTCCCTTCCAACCTAAATCATTCTATCATTCTATAATAAAAAAGTACATCAGTAATGGTAACACTGTAATTATTACCTTGACCCATTAACCTGGTTTGGGTTACACTCCATCTTGATGGTGACTCTGGCTGGGGGCTGTGATAACCAGTCCTGCTGGGGACCGCGCGGGCTCATCTTTGATGTCTGCCCATATTCACTGGAGGAGGAGGCCGTCATCTCTGTCTTCGCAAGGTGGGGCGATCCGTAGGCGCACTCAAACAAGGACTGGTCTTCACTCACCACTGATAATGCTTCCTGCAGACAAGAGAAGTCAGTGTGTCAGCATTTCAGAGCAGATACTACCTATCAAAAAAAGTAATGTTCATTTACCTTATGAGTAACTTTTTTTTTTTTTTTTTTTTTTTTGCCTGGAAACTGTCTGTTATTTTTTAGGTGAGCCCTTGCTGCTGGCAGATGTGAGGACTCACGGTGCCAGACACACATCAGGGAAGGACAACATGCCTCATACCTGACACCTTCTGCTAACAGCAGAGGAGAGGCACATACATACTCATTTAAATGCTTTGGAATAGCAACAGGGAGGTGGGATAGAGAGAGCAGGGAAAATAGCTCTGGCCCCTCACATCTCAGATATGGATGTGGAGGGCCAGATCTAATTGTGGGTGCCAGCTGACATCAGCACAACATGGCCAGAATATGAGACTTGCTGACTCATAGGGAGCTCCTCTTCCTTCCTCTGGGACTGAGGCCAATTCCTACCTGGATGGGATGCCAAGACACAGCTGGGTGTGAATTATACAGGAGAAAGCAGGTACAGATTGCAAATATAGGATATGATTCCACTCTGTATACTACATACTAAAAGGCATTTTAAAATAGTAGGCATCAAACATTGTATAATAGATACATTTCTTACCATTACCACACAAGTGAAATGAAGCAATTTTATTCTTGTTCCTGTTTGACCTGAGGCCATCCAATGTAAGTAAATTTAGGAATACTTAGGATAGTCACAAGTGTAAACTAAAGCATGTGGTGTTGCTATTTATTGACATTACTGGTGACTGTAAATATTGTCTGTTGTAAGGATACATGTTATATTGCACAAAAAAAGGAAAGTGAACACAGTTTAACTTTCTGAGGACAGTGAACATCAAAAGTATGAACCCAATTAATAAGGATTATGTGAATATCTAAAAAACTATGTCAAAAAAACAAGACAAACATAAATGAAGCCAGGAAAAGGACTCAGACGTAACACTTCAGGGAAAAATGTCTTGCTATATACAAAGTGAATTTCAATTTCAAAAGCCAGATAGAGTTGTGCTCTGATTTAACAGTACTCTGTACTCCATCCTTTTAGCTATCACTTAGGGTATGATGACTGCTCTGTAAAGGCCCTGTAGGAATAACTGAGTTTCTGCCAACTTTGGGTGCCATTGGGTTTGTTACTATGTGACATCTCCTTATTGCATTTCCTATGATAGTGAGAATTTCTGATGTTTTTCTTCAAGTTCTCTCTGATCTTTGCTGGCAGTCTTGAAGGACACTAGGACAGGTAATACCTCTCCCTTGTGCACATTAAAGAAGGCTGTCTTGGTCAACCGAGCTTTTGCATAATGTTGAAGTGCCTGCATAGCTAGAGAGTATGGTCTAAATTAGAATTAGCCTTACTTCCTCCTTAACTATCTTTTTGCTCTTCTTGCACATTGAGATAGATATTTCACTGTGGGAAGCATAGTAACTGTATTTAGCATCTGTTCTGCTGCTCCTCCTGTCAGCCAGGATGCAGATGATCATGCCTACTGACCTCTCATGCAAATGCAGTCAAGCCCTGTAAATTTACCAGCAAGAGCAATGGGGTGACATATGTGGTCCTTGCACATCCCTATACACAGGGAGAAGTTTTCTGCAACGCATGGATTGGAGCTGTGCATTGAAGATTGTTAACTGCTGACTTCTTACCTCCTAGTGATTTTAAAAAGTGAAGATGTCTGGCCTAGGAATTTCTGAATTCACCGATCTTGCAAGACACAGTGATGCTGAAAATTACAGGTTAATAAAACCTTATATAACCTCACATACTGGGGCAAAGCATAGAAATAGCATCATGAAACACTTCTCAACTATATAAGAACGTATGACAACTGACATAATTCCATATTCCAAAAAAACAGATAAAAAATAAAATTCAGCTGCTCCTGATATGCATCATTTCATCTGGTCCATCCTTCATTTCTCTTTACTAATTAAAGCCTTCAAGTCTTAACCCTAGATAAGCCAAAAAATGAAGACTCTAGCAGCAAACTAGTGTACCAAATGGATGATAAAAGGCAGAATGGATATTTCATTCTTAAATACAGGGACTTAGAAATGCCCTTTCTGCTGTAATCCTAAATGCTAATGCCTGGATCAAATATAATATCAACTTGTCAGCCTTTATCATCATGAAGAACAGCTGCATAATCTGGACATAAATAAACATAGATGTATATAAACATAGATAAATAAAGACAATAATACTATTTTTGGTGAAGGAGTTTTATATATGGATGCCAATTTATTTCTAGTAAATGCTCTTCATTAAACATTTGCATGTTAATCTCTCTTTTTTTTTTATCTCATTCATAACTAATACTGTTACTGGAACAGTTTGGCAACATCAAGCAGTAAGTGGGATAAAGCAAAACAGTTACAAAACAGATTCATGATAAAGCTCTTTTCGATCTTGCCAAGTTCTGCACCTTTATGGGAATGATTTCACTACTGGATGGGGCAGATGTCATTAATCTCATGACATCTCAGAAATGTAGTCTTGTCTTTCACCTCTAGTAATCAGTTTCTGGGGTAATGTGATATGAGGAAATCCACGCAGACTGCTTGTAGTTGCAGGTGGGGAGGACTTCCGTGAAAGTCTGTGAAGTAGAACCACTTCTAATGCTATCTGAAGTCAATATTGGACACAGATTTTCTTTGCTTCATCTTTCTTTCTCCAAATACTTCCTCTCATGACACCAGCAGAACATGAAAGTCTGCTCCTTCACTAAGACTTTTTTTTTAATCCCTTGTATTATACAAAACCTTCTCTGCCAGACTGCATAAATGATAAAAGAACAAAATATCTTTATTTAGTTTTGACTTACAGTTCACTGATAAGTAAAAAAAAAAAAATAACAGACTGACAAATCTGTAAAACAATAGGTAGAGCAACGCCTTTAAAGTAGGCATGAAGTCATTAGGACAAAGGTGTTTACTTAATCAAATACAAGATTACTTGGCCTAAAAGCACGAAGTTACAGGAAACGTGATTGAAGTAGTTCCCATCAAGAGAAGTGTATGCAAACTGATTGTTCTTTATACACAATGTCAGGAGCTAAGGGCAAAGATATATATATATTTTTTCCTAGAGTTTGATCAAAATTAAGGAATGGTTAAAGGAGATAATGAGGTGTGCAAAGGAGATAATGAAGTTTATCTGCTCACGATAAGAGTTACAGTGGAAAAAATACTGCAAGATTTTAAACAGAATTTGAAGCACATTCTAACATGGCAGTGCTTTTTCTCAAGTTAATTCTCACTAGGAAACATGCCTGCTTGTGCATGAAAAACATTTCTGTACCTTCATGCTATAAAGTATGCTTTCATTTTAGAAATGAACATTTGCATTCATTGTATGGCAGTCATATCTCCATGAAGCACAGCCACTGTATGTGTGCGTATATGTATGACTATCTAAGAATATTCAGTCGATCCCTATTAGTATTATTAGAATACTAGATCATTTCTATGCTCAATGCCTATGCAAAAATCTATCAAGTAACTTGGCTGCTCAAAAAAATGCTTTAAGGACATTGGAAATCAAGAACTTACTGCCGAGCACTGTTGAAATCAAAGCACGCCACTATGATTGAGAATATTGGCCACGAAACGGCAGGATCTTGGGCTGCACAGTACTGCACAGTTAGAGGATGATGCTCGATGAGTCACAAATATAAAGCCAACCACTTTGTCCACTGAGAGATGCTGCAGATAGTAAAAAGGCATTTCCTCCTTGTGTAGCCATCTCTCCCATGCTCCAAAATGCAACTGTTTGCCCTGACTGCGAGGGACTTGCAGTAATTCTGCAATCAAGAACTTTAGATCTTCAGTATGTCTGTGCACGTTTATAGGTTTTTTTTGTTTCTTTGTTTTTACACTGATTTTGTAATATTTCTCCTCATTAATAGAAGCAACTTCTACTTTCTCTAATCTGATTTCACGGTCATGCACATGTAAACAAAGACACAGCTCTCTCAAACACAGGCTGTTTCCTTGTGCTTGTTGGATATCCACAGCTGGTCAGAAAAAATGAATTCTCCCATCAGTGAAGAATTCTGACTGATATTGGAATTTCATTTTAAATTAGACAAAAAGCTGTTATATGAAAACTTTCACCAAAAAGTTTATTGAAAGGATGGATTCTAAGGTATAGATGTGTGCTTTGCAGATGTTAAAACTCTAATATAAAATTGTAAATACAAAGCTCTTGTTACAGATACTTCTCATATACTAATTGTACAATTGAAAGAAATGATCAGTGTGGGAAAGTTTATCAAAATATTTATCAGAAGAAGATGCTTCAGTGTTATTGAAATGATTAGCTTCACCACTTTCCCAGAAAATTCCAATCAAGTTTCTGCTAAACATTTACATTTGGAAGGAACCTGTATTTTCTAAAGAAAGACTGTTTTGATTAAGATCATGTAATTAACATTATTAAGTGTTTCCATGCCTGGTTGCACTCTGTATTCTTTGTATACTTGATAATATTTGTCATTAAAATGAATTGTAACACAATCGTAACTGAAAAAGAGAACAAGTGAAAGTGTGCAAGACATGGTATGCACCTTGGCATAATCACTCCAAACTACACCAGCTTGCTCAGACATTCACTAATCTTGCTTGCTATTCTTCTGTTCTAACACAGACTACGTCTTCTGATGCTCTAGGAGGCTGTTTATCTGGAGTGAAAGCCTAATTTCAAACAGGCGAGGAATGTCATTTCCATCTTGGAATAGATATCACATGGGAAGCTGGACACCAGAATCTTGCAGAGCAGTGGGCGATCATCCAGCCTGAAACTTCACTGCACTTCACTCATGTCTGAAACAGGCATCACTGCATGATAAAGCAAGCTGTGGCTGAACTGCTAAAGGGCATCTAGAATAAATTTGCAGCCTTGCTTCAAGGTCAATTGTTTGAGCCTCTGATTCATTGCATCAAGCAATAATCAGTGAAACAAAAGACAAATGATT